AAATTAATGGACAAAGGGAATTAAAACATGCGTTTTTGGAGTTAATTAATTCTAAAAATGAGAAATTCTATTCCGACGGGATGGAAATGTTGCCAACACAACACGTTGGCAGAAATGCATTGATAGTTGTAGATATTGTTTTGATTAAATAACACAGTTGTAAATCTTTCTTTTTTCTTTTTAAACCAAAATAATGTATTATTTTCCGGACAATCCAATATTTCATATATAGATTAGTGAAAGTAAAACAAAACTTAAATCTATAAATGGTACGACACAAAGTGAGAAGCCTGTGAAAAAAAAAAAAAGTTAAGATAAACATCTAAAAAAACCTACCAAAATAAAAGTCTGTGAAATAAAAAAATAATTAATCGTTTAATTTTTTTTAAAGTGATGAGTAAAGCTGAAACTTGTGTTTAGATGTGATTCGATTACGATCTAACTTCTACTTCTTTAATCTATTTATTGGTGAAGAGATTTATTCATTACATTTATTTAAATTATTTTATAAACAAAAATGAATTTATACATTGTTTACAAGAATTTTTAATCATCTATTAAGTTTTAAAATTTAGAAGTTTCTTCAAAACTGAAAGTATGCACGATGGTAAATGTTTATTAGTGTCTTAGAAATTCACACGCAATTCTATAAATATCCAATCACAAAGTCAAGAGCATTTATATTTTTATAACATATTTTATATTTTATTCACTCTATGACCCTAATACTTGTTTGATTTATAAACTTTATTTATTGATAAACATTAAAACTTTTGTAATTTCAAATTGGTTCTTTTCTTATTACTTAATCGTTTAATATTTAAGAAATAGTTTTGCAACAAAAAAAATGTTATTATTGAATATTCTGTAAAAATTATCTTTTGAACAACGACGACAAACTATACTTGCATTTAAAGCAAAGTTTGACTAATTTACAACTAATCAAATTATTTACTTGAATTAAATACTTTTTTAGTGATCAGTTCATATTCAACGAAAAACATGAATTACTTGAAAAAAAATACACAATTACGATCAAAATTAGGAACAAAGATATTTTTGCTACTGTTTAGAGGGTATACTTAAATCAAAAGGTTTCATGAAATATGAAATGAAGCTATTTTGGAGATAAAAACAGGAAATTTTGAGTCGCATCTGCAGCGCGTATACAGCCGTTGTTTCTAAATGCATATTTTTATCTCATTTTTAAAAATTTATTTTTGAAATCAACAAGTATCATGTAATATTAAATGACAAAAATGTTTTATGTCCCATAAGGTGTTATTTTGAGTCGTGTCTGCCGCGCCCTGCTGGTATTTATTGACAGACGTGTGTTTTTGTTTCTTTTTTGAAGTCTACTTAAATGCAACAACTGTCATGCAGGTTGAAATGACACTATTTTGGTGGTCAAAAACGCAATCCGCTCTCCTTAAAATAACCCATGACCTCCAAAACTCCATTGAACACCAAAACCTTACCATCTTCATCCTTCTAGATTTTTCCAAAGCGTTCGACATTGTTGACCACAACATCCTCCTTACGAAATTGCACAATCTTCCTCTATCCAACAGTGCCCTGCGTTGGATTAAATCATTCCTTTCAAATCGGTCCCAGTGAAGTCGTCCCTGGTCAACTTCCATCTAAGACCCTCTCCCTCTCCTGTGGTGTCCCTCAAGGTTCCTCTCCATGTCTTTCTCTGTTTGCTATTAACGTTAATGACCTTTCCCTTCAGATCCGTCACTCCCAATACTATACCTATTCAGATGATTTCCAAATATACCTGTCCTTCCCGCCCTCCGACCTATTATCAGCCACAGAAAAACTTCAAGAAGACTTGGATAAGATTTGTGACTGAGCTAGAGCCAACAATTTTAAGTTGAATGAGGAAAAGACAAAGGTCATCTTAATTGGCTCCTATCACCTCCTTAAAACTGTTCCTCATATAATGATAATCCCATCAAATTTCATCCCTCAATCAAAAACCTTGGAATGACCTTTGATAAAACACTTTCCTGGAAAAATCATGCATTCAACATCTCCCGCCGTACCACTTCCACCTTAAAAGTCCAAACTTCTTCCGTCACCTGTTTCCCCTTGAAACCCGTAGGCTCCTGGTCACTTCCTTAATTTTTCCCCACTTTGACTATTGCTGCACTGTATATGGGGGCGTCTCTGGGGATCTCGGGGCGAAACTAAAACTTTTAATAAATTTCTTCGTACGATTCATCTTCGGGATCCCAAGTGACGCCTCTGTTTCCCAATTTTATGTAGAGTTGAAGTGGCTTTATCCTTCCTACCGTCGTAAATATTTCCTGGCATCCTTCCTCTTTCAAGTCATCCAATCCCACCGACCTTCATACATCTCCGAGCTCCTCCAATTCAAATCCTCAGTCCACTCCCGCAATACCCGTTCCCGGTCTTCAGATTTATACATAAGGGCCAACCGAACCTCTGCTTTCGACAGATCGTTCATTATCCGATCCTCATACCAATGGAATTCCATTCCTTCCCACATCCGTCAATCCAATATCCTTCCTACCTTTAAATCCCGTCTGTTAAATCATTTCTTATCCATCCAGTCCCCATAAATTTGTAAATAGATGCCACTGTAAATATGTATATAAATTATTAGATCGCTCTTCATTATTTTCAATTTTTTATTATTAACTGATTTAATTTAGAAAGTAACTTATATTTTTGGACAACTAGGTTTTTTCTTAATCTAAACCAAGACTAGTTTTTCTAAATTTAAACCAACACTTAACTTTTGTATTCATTAATCTGAAGCTTTATTTTCTGTTTTTAAATTACTTTATTTTAACACTAGTAATTTTTAGTCAATTAGTCAATGGGAAATTAGCTATTATACAATTAATTTCTAAAAAAAATGTAAGTTATAAACACTACACTTCAAAAATTCTTTGCCATTTTATAATTTTTAGTTGTTACATTTTTAATTGTATAAAATATAATAATTATATATTTATTGATGTAATATTTAGTTATTATATTTGGTTTCAATATTAGTTAAACAATATGGCAAGTGTTTAAGCTAACTTGTTTACTAACTGTTCAAATATTAAATAAGAGGATAGAAAGTAAAGGACCCAAAACACAAGATTACTGAAAAATGGGCCTTAATCAGACAAGAATACTGAGGAAAGATATGAAATGTAAATTAGCATCTCAAGCATGCAAAGTACTTTTGGACTATATGGTGGAATAAGTTAAGTAAACGTAAAAAGGCTATCTGAATTTTTAAAAAATTTTCATGTAATGTCTTGTCGTAAATTATTTTACTTAGTATTTCAGATGACAAGGAGAGGTTGCCAAATTGCTTCTTCGCTGTTAATGAAAAAGTTAAGTTTAGCATCTATGTCTTAAGGAAAATTCAGAGAAAAATTGAGGTATCTGCATATAGTCGCTGAAAGAAACCAGACGGTCTTCTGATATTCAGTCATCATTATAATTTTAAATACATTTAAATAAAAATCACAAAATAGTTTTTATTTAATTTCTTTAATCATTCACATGACTTTAAAAATTAACAGACTTTCGAAATTGATCATCAATCGAAAATGGCATTGTAGTTTTTAAAACCTACTATCTATACCACTATTTATTAGTATCTTTTCAGCTAAGATAATCCTTCTCAGTGGAAACCAACTGCTATTTAAGTAGTTGTAACAAGGAGGTTCCTAAGTTTAACATTAAAAGAATGTCAAATAAACTAAAAACATTATACTCAAAATGTAATTAAAATTACTGGCAATCATTATTGTTTCTACTAATAACTACAAGTTTTTGTGAAGAGAAGATTAGTTGGGGTGGTCAGTCAAAAAAGAAGGCAAAAATAAATGATAATATTTATTTTTACATATGCCGACGTTTCGACCTGAAGTTTAGGTATTCATCAGGGCTAAGAAAATAACCAGATAACAAGGTATGAGAAACATAAGTAGTGATGGTAAAAAAAAATAAAAAAATATAAATAAAAAATAAAAAATAAAGTTAAATGAAATTGTTAGAATAATGACAATAGTAGAACTAAGAGATAAATAATAATAACCATTAAAAAGTGTGGAATGATGAAGTAAGCATAATCAAAAAGGGTGACATAAGTGTTAAAATGGGAATCTTAGAATAAAATGTGAAACATAAAGACCTGAACTTCAGGTCGAAACGTCGGCATATGTAAAAATAAATATTATCATTTATTTTTGCCTTCTTTTTTGACTGACCACCCCAACTATTCTTCTCTTCATTATCCACGACAGTCAACCATTTACCAATAACAAGTTTTTATATTAAAATTCATATTCAAATTATCTGTTCAATGAAAGGTTAGTTATTTTGAAAATCTATAAACTTACACTCTTTCAAAAAAGGAGTAAGTTCCAATGGATTCTGAACATGTGTATTCAAATCAAGAAGGGTGCTTATCACTTAAATATTTAAATACATAATATAATTTGTAGAAAAACTAACATTAATAATTCATTAATTGGAAATTAACTAGTATGTACATTATAGCGGGGAGAAAACAGGTAAGTACAATATACATGAGAAATCTAATTTACATTAATATAACAATGATCAGTTTAACTAATTGGTTATGGCTGGCATTAAGATAAAGGATGCTAAATTGTAACAGAAGTTAATATAATAATTTAATACAAAAACTTTCAATAAAACAAGTACTCAATCAAACTGTCCTTCTGGAATACTATAATTTCTTCTAAGTCAAGTTTACTTAAATTTCATATAAAATTATATAATATATAAAAAAAAATTACATATAACTACAAATAACAACTACATTAAATGATGGCTGTCTTCTGAAATATATAAGAGAACTTTAATGAACAATGAAATTAATTCTAATGGTCTTATAAAATTTTGACAAGGAAGTGTTAAAGATAGGTTTGTATGATAGGCTAAGATAATCTCCTGAAGAATATATCAAAAAAGTAATGTGTAACAAATTCAAAACAACTTACCTCCGGAAATTTATAAACTAAAGAGGCAGCAAAAAATTGTTTTAAAAATGGAGAGACAAATCAACTTTTACTAAACCAAAAAGCACACTGAAATTTAGAGTATATACAATTGCTGCCTCTCAAACGTGAACGAACCTACTACCGAAAATTCAAACTTTTTATGACCTTCTCCCTGGGCAACCAAGTGTATACTCTCAATTAGAATCGATATTAACTTTTAATTCATAACGCTTAACGATTGTTGATTATTTTCCTATTATAATATTTCTAGCTTGTTGTTCTTGTTGTTGGTTTTTCGGGTTGTTTCTTAATAAAAAAAATTATGTTAGAGGAAGAAAATCACAAATGAGAAAGAATTGGCTTATAGTATAAGAGTTTATGAAACGTATGTAAAATTTAAGTCAGTAATGCCCACGAATCAACTGTTATTAATGGAACGGAATGATTAGGAACATTACATTGGTCCTTTTTTTCCCCTTCCAGAAGTGAAAAAAATATTTGATACACCTTGTGGTGGTATTTTAGAGTTATATATTGAACTTCTATATAAGACTAATAGTACAGTCAAGAAATTCCCAAAAGGGGATGTAGAGTGCATAAGCAGGGACCTAAGCAACTCCTTTAGAAACTTGTTCAGAATGCTTAGAGTGCGGACATATCAAAACTCCTGAAGTCTAGGTGGTAGGTCCGGGAGGGGGGGAAAGGAAAGGGCACAATTTTCAGGTTTCCGCTTATATCTCGAAAATGGTGGGTCGCAGCGGGAAATTTTCAAATAATAAATAAAGGTTATTAAAATTATCTAAAACTTTTGTTCAATAGATTTTTCACGAATTCTGCTCTGGATTTCCGCGGATCCTGGCAAGGATTGTTCGTCCATCGCATATTCATCCTCAGTAGTGGTACACGGTGGCCAGACCTCCCTACCGTACAATTCCCCTACATCGTTATAAATGGAATATCATTGTGTTCCTTGCAACTATTTATTTTTAAAAAGCCGATGGTTCCACAAATGAATATTATTGTAGTATTATATATTATTGTAGTAAAGTTAATGCACTGTCCAAAGATGGCGGTAGACAACTTTGACTTGAATTAGTTTTTCGGTCACTGTGATTCGGCATTTGGTTTAATTTCCTCATAGTTGGTCTTTTATTAAAGCTGAATAGTCATAGAATAATAAAACATGAAGAAATATAAAAAAATAATTGGCTTAGGCTATGAAAAACACCAGTAAAGTCAACTTTTTTAACAAAAAAATTTTCAAGTTACAAATCAAGCGTCGTTTGTAATTAAACGGTCTACAATAACGTAAAATGTGCTGAAATAAACCATCTGGAAAATATATTTCTCTTTCTAAAACGCTGATTACTTTTTAAAATATTTGAAGCAGTTTCGTAGAAAATACACTTATGCGGCAGAAAAGCGGTACTGGCGTGGGTATGTATACTATGTATACAATCTCCTCCAATATAAAGCATCTATCCAATCCCTCTCCACATGATCTCGTCCTTCTGATATTACACCCTTTCCATAGATCTGCTTCATTTCAACATTCCTTTATTGTCCGCTCCTCCACCTTTTGGAATTCCATCTCACTTAAAATCCGCCATGCACCATCCTTATCCAGATTCAAAACCCCCTTATTCAAATTCCTCTTCACAATCCAATCAGACGCTGGTTAATTATGTATAATGTAACAAGGATAATTTTTTTTTCATACACCATTATTTTATTTTATTTTTTGGTTATTATTTATGAATTGGAAAGATTCAGTAAAAGAATCAGAATCACTTTTGGCATAGCACTGTGAGGTGATGCATAAAAAATAAGGAATTGTTTGTTGATTTTTTTCATCTAAAAGATTGTGTATATTTTAGACGTATTTAATTTTTTACATTCCTCACTTGTATACATATATATCTTTTCTTATCTTAGTCTCCGTGTTTATAGTTTACAATACTATTGTGTATTGTATAATATATATAAATAATTTAGTTTATTTTAATCATTTTTTTTTTGTCGCAATTGTTTTCTCATAAAATTAATTTAATGCCCCTTTCTGATCGTATTTATCTATTTATAGTTATTTTATATCTTGTATGCCGGCATAATGCAATGTTGTGATCCCGTTGCTCATCTTCTGTCATTAATATATCTTTAATCTATGTATATATTTTGTATGTTTTAGCTGTTTGAGTCCTAACATAACAAGTCAATGCTTTTTATTTACGCACATTTGATATTTTTTCTTTTCTGGTGGTTTTGCTTTTTCTATCTATTCATGTATTTCTTTTTTTTTTTTTTTTTCCAGTACAGTTATAAGTATAGTTGAGAAGATTCATTTTTTAACTGTTTACATACTATTATTTAAGTTATTGTATACATTGTTTGAATCTTTAGTAGCTTAGTTCTTGGTATATGTAAGAGTATATGTTAGTAAGGTATATGTTAGTTCCAGATATGTAAAAAAAAAAAAAAAAATCATCTATGAGGATGAATTTTTCCTATATTTCTCTTTTCTTTAAATAGGTGTTATTTGGATTTTTTTTTCCACCAACCAAGAGAGGACGCGCCTCCTGGCGGAATTCGGTAGTAGGGGAATAATGAATTCCCGGCATACGCAGAGGTGGGCAGGCTAGGGGACCATTGCCTCCCCCTTAAATAATTTGAAAACAAACTAAACCATAATATAATACAAAAGGTTTGCCGAAAATTCAAGGAAATAAATTTTTAAAAATTGTTTTATTTGTATGTAGGATTTCATATAAAAATATTTATATTGAACACTTAATAGTTCACCATTGTATTATTAAGGAACCAGATGGTCCAGGGTGGCGGTCATAAATAGACTAAATAATGGCAAAACTATTTTATTAAAAGCCAACGGGTACTAGTTCACAAGAGTTCCGCACGGATTACGCATGGTTCACAATCACTTCGGTCACACTTTTTTTTTTTTTTTTTAGATCCTCCCCTTCCTCGCCGCTAAGGCTATACGGGGTTTTCCCGGGCCAGGGGGTGTCGGCGGAGATTTAAAAGACTCCCTCGGCACCGGGACGCGAACTCATGACTATTTTGATATCATTATTCAAATATCAGGTTACCGGGCAACGGCGGTGCTGTGCACACGCGTTAGTCCATTCGGCCACCCCGCCCACTTTTAGCACCCGTGACACGGTTGAAATAGTAGCGTAGGGATGTCTTGGAGTCCTGCTTTTCCCTCTATACTTGGAGTGATAAGCCTGGCTTGGGGTCCCCTCATTGATTGTAAATATTGTCTACAAGTATGACTGTGTATAATATGTCTTTAATTTACTTATCTTTAAGTTATTTTACTTTTTTATTGTACATACTTTTTGATTATTATTTAGTTGTCATTTTGCTTTTGTTTCTTTTGTGTTTCCTTTATATATGGTGTGAATGTGTTCTTACTTCACTACAATTATTATCCGTTTGACAGAATGTTATAATACTGAATAAATAAATAATAAAACAAAATTACTTATTAAACATTTTTATGCGACATTTGAAAGAGTAAAATAAGTAATAAATGTTGAAAATACAAATATTTTCGGTAAATTGATAATGAAATGGGCATTAATTTATGATAATGTATCCCAGTTTAATGATTTAAGGAAAATAACTAGTGTCAATGACGGGAGAGGCTCCCTTTCAGCTAATTTTAGTCCTTCCCTTTGGATTAAACCTTCCACTGCTTTAGTAAAAGTAATTTGTGTTTTAAGGCGTTCAGGTGCGGGTCCATAGGTACACCAGTAGCTGATCTTAAGACGTTTTAGCCTTTCATAGAGCGTAATGGCCAGTTGCTCCCGGTGTGTCTCAAGAGGTACTATGCCTGTTTGTAATTCTAGCGCAGATTTTGGGGTTGATCTGCTCCCTCATGTCACGAGTCTAAGGGCTTGGTTCTGGATTATGTCAAGCTTGTGTAATATCGCGTCTGAAGCAGTGATAACAAGTTCTGCTCCATATTTAATAACAGGGCGGACATATGTTTTGTAGGCAAGAGCAATAACATCCCCGCTGCTCCCCATTTTGAGCCACCTAGCCTCTGTATTAACGAAAGTCGTGTTGAAGCCTGCTATTTGATATTTATTTTTCAATATGTTTATTCCAAGAGAGTCTTTTATCGAGCTTCACTCCAAGATATGTGGCTTCTTCTTTGCGCTTGAGCTACTCATTATTATGGTTCAAAATTTTCTCGTGTGATTTGGTAGAGAGGGTAAATTTCAGTACCTGTTGCATGTGCTTTTCTAGCCCTTTAAAGTCACTACTTGTTGCCCAAATGACGAGGTCATCTGCATACAGCAGAACATTTGTAGCCGGAATTGTTTCAGTGAGTTCCGTGATATCATCAATCATGATGTTAAACAGGAAGGGACTCAGCACCGAACCTTGTGGAAGGCCTTGTTTTGTTTGGCGATATGTCGAGACAATGTTTTTATATCGCACCCTTATAAGCCTTTTATGTAAGAAAGAAGATATAGTCTTGAGCAGGTATCCTGTGACTACCTTGTCAACGAATATTGCCAGGGTGCTCTGTTTTGTTTGGCAGCCGTTTTTTATTTCTTGTGTTAGACGAGCTACTTGTTCAATAGTGTTTCGAATTTTCTTGAAGAAAGCTTGGTTAGAAGATATTAGATCATATTTTTCTATGTATTTCTGAAGTCTTTCTGCAACGATTCTCTCGTAGAGCTTGGAGAAAATACTTGTTAATGCAATGGGTCTGAAATTTTCCGGCATAACTCCTTTTTTTCCTCTCTTCAAGATTGGTACCACTTCTGCTTTCCTCCATTCACACGGAATATGTGTTCCAGATAGCATTTAAAAATGTTAGTACTGTTTCTTTGGCCATATCCTCCAGGACCTTATCCACCTGGAGTCCAGGTGTATAAGAAATTCCGACAATATGTCATCTGGGCCAGTGTTGGGCAATTACTCGAGTAACTGTCCAGCGGTGACATCACGAGTGATCACTCTTAGTAGCTTAGCCATGAGTAAATTTGAAAATTAGTCATGAGGCCCTCCGGGCTTCAACTTTTTGTAACTTTTCGGATTAAACCGATATCAGGGTCGACTATTATATTTTGGGAGGCTTTTTTTTATGAAAATGCTGTCGCTTTTGAGATTAGGGACCCCGGGCCTCGACTTTTTATAA